AAAATTGCCTAATGTATATTGTCTGTGAAATGGTAGTATTGAAAAGGAAATATATTGAAATTATCCAGATGTACAAGTTAAGAGGTTAGGTAATATACATACAGATCTTTTGTTTCTTCTTAGTTTGTTTCATGTTTTTGAAGAGTTAGGCAGTTACCTTCTAGAGACTGGAGATGAAGAGTGAGCTAGGGATATAAGTAGTTAAGGTACTCACTCTATTGTCTGTGAAATGGTAGTATTGAAAAGGAAATATATTGAAATTATCCAGATGTACAAGTTAAGAGGTTAGGTAATATACATACAGATCTTTTGTTTCTTCTTAGTTTGTTTCATGTTTTTGAAGAGTTAGGCAGTTACCTTCTAGAGACTGGAGATGAAGAGTGAGCTAGGGATATAAGTAGTTAAGGTACTCACTCACCAAACGTAAGGGTGGAGCATCAGAATATATAAAGTACTGCCAATCCAAAGGGACACCAAAACATTTGCACATGACCCAGTACATTTTAGCTCAATGCTCCAACAATTGCTTGATCAATTTAAAGACCTTTTATTTATTTATTTTTTAATTTAATTTTATTTTTTTGGTACCTGGTATCGAACTCTGGCCCTCACACTTGTGAGGCAAGTGGCGGAACCACTGAGCCAAATCCCCGGCCCTTAAAGACCTTTTAAGTTCAGTGGTCCCAATAAAAAGAAGTTAGTTTAATTTCAAACTTTGCCTCTGACCTGTTGCACAGTGCAATCTTTTGAAAAAGTTAAAAAATATTGACACATGTATCTCTTTCCTAGAGGCTGTGATCTGACGGTGGGAAGATTTAGGCTTTGAAATCCTTAAAAGATCACACAGTGACTCCAGTTTGCAGACAGTCAAGATCCATAACTCATTTATCTCTGTTTTATTGATGTTAATTCTCTCAATTACAATTGCTGAAATTCACATCTGTGCCATGCATTATGTTAAGTACTAGGAAATTAGAACAAAAGTCAGTCTTTTTAGCACATCTGCTACTAATAATAGTTACTATTCATAGTGCTCTTACTTTGGTTTGAAATTTACTTTGTCTGCAAATAAGATTGCTACCCCTGTTTTTTTCTGGGCTCCTGTCACATGGAGAATTGTTTTCTATCTTTTCACTTTCAGTCTATGGGCTTCTTTTTGCACTAGGTGTGTTTCTTGTATAAAACAGATTATTGGATTTTGTTTCTTATTCCATTCTGCCAGTCTATTTCTCTTGACTGGTGAGTTGAGGCCATTGACATTGCTGGTTATAACTGATATGTACTGACTTATTATTGAGATGTTATTGGCCTTTTGTTGACTCTTTTTACTTTTTCACCTTCTCCTTTTTTCTGACCCTTTTTATAGATGAGATTACTGAGATCTTAACAATTACAACTGTTATCATCAGCATCTCCTTTAAAATAATATTTGTTTTGAATCATTCCAGTATTGGGCTGATTCTGAATAATTATTCAAGCCTAATTATGAAATTATATTATTAGGAGGCCTATGGTAATTGCTTTTAATTTCTGTACATTAAAGTAGCTTCTTATCTCTGTAACCAGTTAATCAACAATATTCCAGGAAGTCAAAGTTCTTTGGACTATTGTTCATTACTTTTTTTGTAAATAGCAATGCTTCTTAGAGTAAGACATTTCATTCTTCTGATCCCTTTACTAGGAAGTGCTCACGAAGAAGTTTTGATTACAGTTCCCTAAACAGCAGTTTAAAGTGTCTTTTATTTATTGGAACATTAAATTGGTTGCTTACTCATACTATCAAACTGGAAACATGAGGAAAGAAAGGTCGACTTAGAGAATGTGTTATCCTGGGATGAGAATGTGTCAGAGGCAGCATAGCATGTCCCACCCTTTCTGTGTGGTCAGGATCAGATCATATGTTGTGGGTAAATTATCTATTTTGTAAGGTAGGCCGAAGTATTCTCCTTCAACTAACTGTGAAAGCATTCTTGAAAGCCCATGAAACCTTATTATTCTAATTACCACCACAAGGGGTTGATAAATGAATGATGAGGCTAGGTATTATTGTCATCAAATAGACCTCACTCAATTATTTATCCTCAGGTCTAGGATTACAGCTCAGAGAGCTATGCATATTGTACCAGGGCTTGTTTGGGCTCTGAGACTTGGATGCTCGATTACAGCCTTGGCAGGCAGCTTTTGCTGAATGCAATTCAAGGTGATGACACACGTTTTTCAGTCAGACATTTGGATGGGTTAGGGCCAATAGTTATTCCGTTTGTTCATAAAAACCCTATTTTATTTTAGCCAGGTAGTAAAACCCCTTTAAATTACCCAGATAATACAAATGGGGAGGGACATGGATTTATTATAGGAAAAAATATAGGTTTGTTTTTTTTTTTCTAAAGACTGTTTTCTTCCATTGTGTTACCTGTCATGGGCACTTCAGTATGATGTGTACTGGTCAGTGTTTATAACCATATTATGAATTTTCTTGGTTCTTTGTTTCTAAGTATGCAATGAAAGATGTTGTTTTCTGGTTAAGAATTTATTTATTAGGGAAGATGGGATTGGGTGATACTAGTTTTCTTTCATATAGAAATCATGTCAGCTCATTGCAAAAGCCAGTCCTAAAAATAGTGGGGAGGTATGTTTGTCTCACCGAGTCACTGACTTGTCCAGCCCTTGTTTCTTCAGGGTCTGCAAAGTTGCAAGAGTGTTTTTTTTTTTTTTCCTCTTGAAAGCATCAGATTTGGGGGACTAAGATGTCCTGCTTGCTAAACAATTCTCTGCCCACCTTATGGTGTGTGATGGTTTTAAAGGCAACCCCAAGATTTCTGATGAGGGCACTAGTCATTCTCCCTCCACCTTTTGGGGCAGTGAGTGAGGATTGCAGAAGACCTAGAATTGCTGTTTAGGGACCCCTTTGGTATGCAGTTTATATGTGTGGTGGAAGAAGCTCTCAGAGAAAGGCAAGTGGGGAGGGCACTGAGGAAAGACTAAATTCATACCTGAGATTATATGATGTAGAGGGAAATCTGGACTTTTTTTCTGAAAACCAGAGCCAGAATATGTATGTTGAAGGTAGTGTGGAACAATAATGTAGACAAATTTGAAGCTATATCTAGTGTTAAGGATTAGCAATTAAAGAAACAAACAATAAAAGTTTTGCTTATATTTTTCAAAGCAAAATTATATTTATAACTAACAAGAACCTTATTAATGTCATATAGAGGGTTGTAAATAGGGAAGGGTGAAGAGGATGAAGGGAGGGCAGGGGTACGGGAAAAAAACAAGAACCAAGACATATCTTGCAAAGGTACAAGGTCCCAGTGATAAGTGTAACTGTATGGTTTGTTTTAAATGTACCGATAAACTTAATGGGGGCCAAATGACGTCTTAAACAAAAGTCCTTCACTGATCCTTCATCTTTTAAGGTTTACTTTGTGTGTTCATGAAAAGTTCATTTATGTGCCAAGGTCTTGTTGAATGGTGACAGTGTTGGACTAGTGGCACCACAACCATGTTTAAATTTACTTTCTTATCATGATAGAGGTGCTTCTTCATCACATAGCTCGTATATTCTGCAGCCTCTGGAGGGAGAAGAAAAGCACACCTTCCATCTTTAATTTTTTTCATGTTTCAAAAAAGCACTGACACAAATGTCTGTCTTAAGGCTGACAGAACAAACTACCATGTACTGGGTGGTTTAAACAATAGTAATTTATTCTCCACAGTTCTGAAAGTAAGAAGATCAGGGTGCCTGATCCGAGATCAGGGTGCCAGTGTGGTTGGGGTCTAGTGAGGGCCCTTTTAAGGCTGTCAGCAGCCAAGTTCTTGGATCTTCACATGGTAGAAAGGGGCTAGCAAACTCCCTGGCCTCTTCTTATGGGGGCAGCATTCATGAGAGTTCCACCCTCGTGCAAGGCATAATGACGTTTTGGTCAACAGTAGATCGAGTGTACAGTTGGGGTTTGATAAGGTGGAATTTGCCTGGTAGTGTCCTCACCATCTTAGTTTGTGTTGGTGCTCTCTACAGTGTTTGTACAGTGATGAAATTGATGCATTTCTTAGCACATCCCTCTTCGGAATATATCCCTGTTCTTAAGCAGTGCCTGAATGGTACCTCCTAAAGGGCCCACTCCCACAGGCCATCACATTGAGGGTTAGGTTTCAGTCCATAACAGGGACCAGTCAAGTTTATAAGAACTGTAACATACTTAACATGTTCACATTGTCCATTTTGATGGCGCAGTTTTTTGAGATACACACAGAGACACTAATATGACTTTCATAAATGTATCAATATTTGAGAATAACATTAAAGTTTAAAGCACTTTCTGATTGTGAAGTCAAAAATATTCCTTTCCTTTTCTTTCCTCAATCCCATCTGCTTTATAACATAATTTTTCTCTTTTAAGCCATAACTGCTTTTATGGGATTAAAATATCAGGCCATTAAGTTTGTTCTATGTCAGTTTGTCCTAACCTTGTCTCTCTCTCTGTCAAAGGAATTATTTAAAAAGAAGGAAAGAAAGTATTTTAAGAAAAAAACCATCTGATTGCTGGAAGCTGACACTAACTTCAGCTTCAAGTTTGTATGTGGTAGAAATGAGAACTAGGATTCTGTATTTGACACTTAGCATAAATCCCTTGCTTTTCAATGACTCCAGATGATTAATAAGTGAGACTAAAATATCTTACTCTCCTAGGCCAGAATTTAAAAATTTAACTATGCATTAAGATTTTTGAGGCTATAAAATTCAAGGATAAAAGAAGCAGGGGAGGCAGGGGTGCAGCTCAGTGGTGCCTCGCCTGCTTGGCAAGCTCAGCGTCCTGGGTTGGATTCCTGGTACCAGGAAAAAAAGAAAAAAAGACAATACAAGTATATATTATGGCGAGGGTAGAAGGTTTCGAAGTACTAATGGAGACCTAATAGAAACATACATTTACAACTTACATGTTCTGTTAGTCTCAACCTGCTCCCACCTACCTCTTTCTGTTTTAAAATTTTCTCAGGGAAGCAAAAAAATTTGTGAGTGAAAATGAAGGAGCTCTTGGGAAAGGAAAAGGAAAACAGTGGTTTGCATTTAAGATGATGATGGCCAAGGTAAGTACCGTGAGACGTCCATCTGTTTATGCCATATTGACCTCCACAGGAAGAACACTGTCTGTTCTGAGGGTGTAGAAAGCCGGTCTCACAGGTTTTATGCATAAAGTATAAATACAGACCATTTACGGTTTATCTGGAGGGGAGGATTAAAAGTTATCCCTAGTGGAGTGAAAATAAAAAAGAAACTGACAGACACCAATGTATAGTAAGAGACTTACTTGCACGATTTTAACACTTCCAAATATAAAAGATTGTGTGGACCCTTTTCCTTTTCCTTTTCCTTTTCATCCTCTGGAAGTTAAGGGATTCTGGTTAAAATTTCTTTCTTCAGTTGTCTACACGTTTCGGGGATGTATAACTTTTCTCATGAACATCAGCTGTATATTGGATAGAAAATAAGAAAAAAATTAATGGTGTACTGATAAAAATGTAGACTTGGGCAAAAGGTAAAAAACAAAATAACATTCATTTGCACTTATCATGTGCCAAGCCCTGAACCAAGTCCCTCGGTAAATTGATAGTTAATTTTCACAGCAAAATAGGTATATGGGTATTATTATCCCTTTTTTATAGATGTTACACCAGAAGTAAATTTTTCTGTGAAGATAGAACTTTGTGCATCAAGTTCATAGACTTTAATTTCCATACACATACAAACAGACTAATTGTATCTACTTTTTACAATTAAAAAATAGAGCATACATTATTTATACTTTTGTTTCTGGCTCTTTGTTGCATGATCAACATCGTACAATACTTTTGTGTTGCTATGGGAGTTACACTACATCTTTACTGTCCTGTTGTATTGCACTGGATGAAGATGCCATAAATTCTTTACTTATATATGCTACTATAGGTAGCCATTTGGGCCCTTTGTACTTTGAGGTTCTGATTATACTGTTATTTAGGCTTGGTGTGTCTGGTCAGCTCTTACTTCACACATGTGCGTAGTTATCTGTTCCATCCTCCTCCTTCTTACGGGTCCACTATACCATGATTAACCCAGCCCCATGGAGTAAAATACAAGGAAGATCTTTTGTAAAACTAATTTATTATTTTTTCTTCCTTCTTTTTCTCTGAGGCCGTGCCTTTCCATTTAACTGACCGCTCTGCCTCTAACAGAATGGAGGGCTCTATGTCGTGGAATTTACTGTACTTTATTGAAATTGTCTGTTTATTTACAGCCTACTCTAGACCAGGTACCTTTCAAGGCAGACATTGTATTTTATTCATATTTATTTAATTCTTTCACCTGGTGAATAGTAATTTAGCAGTGTGTTCTAACTTAGTATTGGCTCTCTTATTGTTTGGTAGGATAAACTGACTTTTTCAAGTGTTCAGCATACTCTATCTAATTAGGGTGGGGGGGGTCAATAAAAATTTATTGAATTAAATTGGCTTGGGACTGATGGAAATGAGGGAGGAAAATGAAACATACTGTCTTGCATTATTATAAAAAGTGTATTTGGCACTACAGAGATCTTTCTAAGTGCAATATATTATGATGTGTGTGTGCGGGGGGAATAACAGGGCAGCCCAAGTGATTGGGCCATACTTTTATATTTGATTTCCTTTTCAGAAATGGGCAAAATTCCTCCGTGATTTTGAGAACTTCAAAGCTGCTTGTGTCCCATGGGAAAATAAAATCAAGGCAATTGAAAGTAAGTGCTCATCATATCTCACTAGATGGGGAAAGTTGTGCTAGCTAAAACTTTTCATAAAATGCCTGTCCCTTTTTTTTTTTTGGACCGGGGATTGAACTCAGGTCCTTGCACTTGTGAGGCAGGCGCCAGAACCACTGAGCTAAATCTTCGGTCCTCCTTTCCCTATTTCTGAACTCTTTCACCCTCTGGACTCTTGGTAAGATTAAAAATAAGCAACAATATCCAACCAACTAAACTAGAGTGTTGTTTACTTTTGACCACTGTGAGGATTAGTGTTACCCAGCTTTCAGTTACTATGACAAAACACCCAAGATTAACTTAAAAGAAAAATGGTTTCTTTTGGCTCACAGTTTCAAAGTATTCAGTCCATGGTCACTTGGCACTGCTGCTTTGGGTCTGAAGTGGTTTATTTTATCATGACAGGAAACATGGCAGCAGAAGCCATTCACCTCAGAGCAATCAAAAATCAGACAGAGTACACCAGCAATGTTCCTTCCCCTAGGCCCTACTTCTTGAGCATTCTACCACTTCCCAGTGGTCCGAGGACCAAGCTTTCAACACTTGAGTCTTTGGGGAAGTATTCTAGATCCAAACCATAGCAATTCCTAGCCCTCATCAGTGATAACACTAGGGGCTGCATTCTCTTTTCCTCCCGTAGATCAAAGCATTCCCATTCTGAGCTGACTTTTTTCTCTTAGACTGGACATCAGTATTGTGTACAATGACATCAAATCATACTATTTGGAAAGGAGTGGTTTCATTGGACAGTGAACATGACATTGAAAATGTATATTCTCATGAATGTTAGATAGTAACCAAAATGAACAATATTTAAACAGAGCAAGGAAGTTTTAAAATCTCACTTTCAGGGCCGGGGATTTAGCTCAGTAATGCTGCCACCTGCCTTACAAGCACAAGGTCCTGAGCTCCATCTTCAGTACCAAAAAAAAAAAGAAAAAGAAAATAAGGAATTTATTGTAAAAAAAAAATCAGAAATTTACTATCTGAACAAACATACTGTGCCTTTATTTGGTACATAGTGCTTTACTCTTTGAGCAATATTTTTTCATCTCTGGCTCTCTATTTATATACTCAGAGTCTCACATGAAATCTGGGGCTTTGATTAGTTAGTACACAGGATCATTTCTCACCTAACAGTCTATGGTGTATAATTTAAAATCAGTCTTAGATGTATAGTTAAGCATGTAAAATTCCTTTTACATCTGGGTGATAAATTATTGAAAAATTTAAATGGAATACAGATTTATACTATGAGAGGCCCATTTACCTTCTCATACTTTTCAGAAGGTTTGTTAATTGTATAATCTATTTATGAAATATATATCCTATTTTTGATATATATGTTTAATTACAAAGTAATAAAATGCTATATTTTTTTAAAAAAGAAATGATTATTTAATCATACAAAAGTTTAAGAAATATTATTATACTTATTTTCAGTGTCAGAACCATCAAATATATGCTAATTAATCTTTGGAGTAAGTATGACATTATTGACTAATTAAGCAAACATTCACTGAAAGCCTGAAACTTAGACAAGTTTCTGAATGCTATTATTGCGGACAAAGACAGGCAGACTCTCCTCTCATTGATTTTATACCCAAATATGTTAGTATTTGTATGGCTGGGTGAGGAAGATCAAAAAATATAAACAAAGAGATAATGAAGATGATTATGGATTATGGTAAATTGCATGTTCAAAAGAGGAACAATTGTACTTCCAGCCTTCTTTTAATCCACCTTCTCTCATTCCTTGATCGTTCTCTAAATAAATACTGAACTTTTTTTTTTTTTACAGTATGGTTTTAATGGAATCTCAGATGAGCAGCCTTTGCTGAGTTTCCCCAAACCCCCGATCAATAATTGGTAAAATCAAGATAGGTACCCAAGGCAGAGTCCAAATCCCATGCTGTTATCATCCTGATTGCAGTTAGACCTTTATTTCTTCTAACATGGAGCAGATACTCACTTGAGGACTCCCAAAATATTTCATTTAAAAGATTGACTTGATAATTTTGGCCACAGAGGAAGACGTGAAGTTGTACAGTGCATGGGAAAGCCCTGGGGTTTTACCAGCAACCTTGTAGAGGAGTCCATGCCCCAGCCCCAGGCTTCGTCTTATCAGTCATACCTCGTTGCATATTTTGCTGAAGAACCTGTGTGAAAATATAACCCATTCCCACTGTGATGCCAACATTGGTATTCAAACCAAGAATGAAATAATTGACTACCTTTCAAACTGGAGATGATAAATCTTTCTCAGAATCAAAATCTATTTTTTCCTAATAGTAGACTACAACACTAAAAATGTGCTGTGGTAGATTTAGTCATCAGACAAGAAATGGCTTCAAATAGGGAACCTGGTGCATAGAATTTAGACCTTATGTTTCTCTGCTGTACCAAGGACTCCAGGAAACACAAATGAAAAGCTTCACATTTAATTCTCCTCTCCTAGACTTGTTGGAAAAAATGGTGTTTCATAACAGAATTCTTTTTTCTTGCTGTTGTACTCACACAGTAGGTCATTTAATTGGTCTTTCTCCATATACAGATGCTTATATTTCTCTGCTTGTCTTAATATCCATCTTTTCAAGAGGAAATTATATATGATGACAGACTACAAATTACTTTGGCTTAATAATAAATAATTAGAGGGAGAGGTAGAAATTTAGCCTTAATTTGAAAGAAACACAAGAAAATTCAAGATCAAGAATATGCATAAACTTAATATTTACTTTGATACACATGTAAGACTCCCTTAGTACATCAATAATGTACTATAAAAGCAGCACTTATTGTTCGGAATAATTAAAACATTGGTTATCATGGGTATGATCCAAATTGTGAATTTGAGTAGTTTTAGTTAACTCATGCAACTTATCTATTCTTTGAGACAGGCATATTCATTCCATATTTATTGTATTCATCTTTTTTTTTAAGACGTAATTTAAGTGTAGTTTTACTTGAAGGGCTATAGCATAGCGATTGAGTGAGATCTAGATTTGGAGACGAACACACCTCCAGGTGACAAGTGCCTGATTTGGAATCCTACCTCCACTGTTTTTGTAACTACAGGCCCACATCTATAAAATGGCGCGGTGACAGTTCCCATCTTATAAGCACTTGATGATGAGTCAGTAAGTTATGACACAGAGATCAAAGAGATGTCTTAAATAAAAAAATACTAAATGTTACTTTTTATTATTAATCAACTCTTAGTTCAGTCAACTGTTATGCTTAAAGTTTTGTTTTCTGAGCAATACATTGACATTAACCTCAGTGTATTTTAGTGGCAGCGCAATGAGTGGATGCTGGTGGGTTCTTAGTACACATAGTTGACCATAAAGATTAGCTAGCTATTGTTATTATTATTACTATTCATTTTTGTTCTTTGCAAGAATAAATTGTGTTTATTTGAGAAACTAAGCATGATCATTCTTTTTATTGCTTTCTTAGTCATGCTATATAAGGTTTTTAGTTTTTATGAGCATCGGTTTTTGTCAACAACACCCAGTTAGATAAAACTGCTAGGATAAATGAGGCAGATTTCTTTTTTGTTTTTGTATTGATAAAAGGCAAGTTCTTACAGAGCATTAACATCAGACAGTTGCTTTATTTCCTTCATTTCAACATCTTTATGCTTTCCCTCTGCCATTTGTAGGTTAAATATAGAGGGAACATTTTCTCCTGGATTCCTTAGTCTTTTGACCTGCATCTGTGTCAGTCTTTTGTAAAGTTATGCTAGTTTTAATGCAATTTGTTTTTCTAAAATTTATTTTCTTTATACTTATGATTGTTTAAAAAATCCACCTTCAAAAAGAGTAGTTGTGAAGCTCCTTTCAAGTGCCCAAAGTGGAGTTTGTGATCTTGGGCCTATAAAGTATATTTTATCCACAATGAATGTGTGTGTTGGAGGAAACATCTCCATTTGCTTCTCTCTCCCGCATGTAAAATTTATACACTTGATCTTAGCCAAAAGGCCCAGAAGCGATCGCATGTAAAATTTATATTCAAGAAATTCATTTGCCGGGTGTTAACGTATGAAGTCTGAAAGAGTGTGGGCCATGGTGATATTTAAAGGATCAAAATTGTAGGAAGAAAGGAAAGGAGGCAGGAAGCGAAAGGAAGGAAGGAAGGGAAGGAAAGAAGAAAAGAAAGAACAGGAGGAAAAGGAGGGAAGAAAGAATGAAAAGAGAGAGAGAGCAAGGAAAGAGGCAAGAAGGGAAAGAGGGAGGGAAGGAAGGGAAGAAGAGAGGGAGGAGAGAATGAGCAAGGAAAGACAAAAGGGCAGAAGGCAGGGCGGCAGCATGGTGCTGGGGATTCTGTACCAGAAGGTTTCATGTGTGTTTCCAGAGCCTGAGATTCTCCTCCGGCAAATGAGGGACTGAAGCCCACTGTCTTCAGTAAGGCACAGTGGGTGAGCCTGGCCAGGCAGGCAGCCCTCAGGTGGTCCTCCCCGAGAACGTACGCCACAGTGGCGGCAGACATGGAAGCCCTAGGGACCGGCTGTGGGGTGAGATATCCTCAGAGGGACAGATCTGCTTTCAGATTTCTGTCGACAGACTCATGCATGCGGTTGTAGCACCAGGAAAGGAGATATTTTCCAAAAGTACGCAATCTTAGAAATCCGCTAGAAGGAGAGACCTTCTATAATGTGGAATGAACTCTGCTTCTCTTTGGAGCTTAAAGAAAAACATGCTCAGACTTCAGAATCATTGATTTCTTCTGAATAGCTATTTAGAGATTGACTTCTTTTTAAATTTGTAAAAAATTCTGCCATCCTGTTATGGGAAAAAGTGAAATGTTACCTAAAGAGCAGATTACAGTCTAGAAAGAGAAGTATTGCTCTCTTGTGAGGTCAGCCTCCATTTGGTAATTAGAAGCTGGAGTTTTCTCTGAGCAAACCCTCCTCCTGCTGTAAGAATATATCCCCAGAGGGAGCATTTCAAGGCCAAAAGGCTCAAGAAAAGTTAGAGGATTTGGTGGTTTAAACACGACAAGCCGATGTAGGGGGTGGCTGAAGCTTTTCATTGTTTTATCTTGGGGAGCTGAAAATGGCGATTAGGAAGATTTAGGAACAATAGGAGCCTGATGCTGAACCCTAACTGACCATCAAAGAAACTTTGGCTTTCCTCAATCCATAATATTTTTGACCTGAAGCTTCACAAATTCTGTACCTTCTTCCATTTTCACTTTAAGAGGATGCTTTTTATTATCTATCTATCTTCTACCTATCATCTATATCTTACCATCATTTTCTTCAGTCAGTAAGATTTGGACAAATCACCACACCTCCCACTGTTTTGGGCAGGTGTAAGATGAGAGATGGTTCTTGCCTGTGGCCTTGCAATTCATTCCTCCAAGCTGAAGTGTTTTTTTCTTTTTTTTTTTGTTTTTTGAGACAGGGTCTCACTATGTACTTGAGACTGACCCGGAACTCACTAAGCAGCCCAGGCTGGTCTGGAACTCACAGCCATCCTCCTGCCTCAGCCTCCCGAGTGCTGGGATTACAGGTGTGCACCACCGCACCCAGCTGCTGAAGTGTTTTTTAGTCATGTCCATGCCCACCCTTCTGCAGCTCCACTACTTAACAGCTGTCAACAGCTTCTCGTGGCACGTCGGACACAACCTCCACTCTTATGCCGTAGGAGGCCCTGCGCCCATGTGGTTGGCCGTCTCGTCACTACTCTTCATTCACTGTGCTCCACCTGGGCCTTAGTTTTGTTTCTCGCTTGCTCCCCACTCTCAGGAGTTTTGTTCTTACTGTTTTCTCCGATTGTGCTGTTCCTCCCCAGCTCTGCACGTTGCTCCCTCTGCCTCAGATTTCTGCCTTGTTGTCTTCTTCTCCAGTATACTTTTCTCCACAGACTTATTTAAAGCAACTCCTCTCACTGCCTTCTCCTGCAAGACCTATCTGGCTATAATTATCTATGTAGATATCTATGTAGGTATCTATTGAATAATTAATATAGTCTTCATATATATATAAATACAGTCATATTTGTTGTTTTTACATTTACTGAAATGTAAGTTCTTAGAGCAGTCCTGAGCTTCAGCTAAGATAATTGTGCTTTCCTCTAAGATAATTCCTGGTATAAAATACTTAGCAAAGATGTGGGGAGTGAATTTCAACTTCCGCAGTCTCTGAAAAATGCAGCAGTGATGAGAAACGGCCCATGACAGCCTGTGAGGGAACCTTCCGTAATGGATGTGCTGGACTCTTTTGAGAAGGGCATAATTTTCCTGAGGAAAATGGAAGATAAGTGCAGTAGTTTGAACTAACCACAAGCTGGGCACCACAGTTCTTATTTTATAGACATTTCCTCACTTACTTGTATTAATGCAGAGTAAAATAGGCTCTGCAAGAAGCAATTATAGCTGCTAAGTAAGAGGTGGTTTTCCCTCTGAGGGGCCTGGGACTTGGGCTTACAGTCTACGCAAGGATACTCTATGTACCTTTCCGTCCTCCACCACAAGGACACTTTTGTCATGCTTAACGTGCTCTCTTCCTGGAGAAAGAAGGCTTTTCCATGAAAACATGGAAAGGACCAGTGTGTTTCAGTATGTGTGTTTATCTTGAAGGAGCACTAAGGGGGACCTTTTGTTTTACTTGGTTTTGACCCCTCCTTTTACCTTGCTTTGTCATAGGTCAGTTTGGCTCCTCTGTGGCCTCATATTTTCTCTTCCTGAGATGGATGTATGGAGTAAATATGGTTCTGTTCATCCTGACGTTCAGCCTCATCATGCTTCCAGAGGTGAGGTCTGATCTCCACTTCACAGGACAAACTGCAAGAAGTTGCTTATGTGACTACTCTCCTAGAAAAACTTTGAACTATTTTTTATTAGAGCTAGGATTAGTAACAAGATTAACCTTATACATGCTGTCCCTGGGATGAAGGACTTAATTTTTCTCCAAGGGTGTTCACAAAATTATATACAAAATTTATGTATGTTTTAATGTGCTTTTTTATGTCAAAGGTTGGTAGCTTCTATAATATTTCCAAGGTAGTGGGAATCCCTGTGCCCACTGTTAAGAATAGCTGCTCAGTTTGTTTTCTTCTTGTACACTTTGTCTGTTGTATTTCCTTTGCCAAGTTTGCTTTTAAAATAAATGTTTCACAACACAGTTGTGAGCCTCCAGGTTTTCTAAACTGAAGTAACACAAAATGAGGAAATTTCTTCCGGGTATTACATAAGTTACCCATGACCTCTCCTCCCAACATGTTCACATTCTCACAGGGGAGAGTCGGGTGGAGGGGAGACTTTTAGGACCAAAGTCAAAGAGTAAATCAGACAGAGGGTCCAGACTGGAGAAGAAGGCAGATCCCTGAGCTGACGCGGGAAGAGAGGCCAAAATACCAGCTTGAGTTAAGTGACTCTGCCTTCTGTGGATACTTCCCATGTAAAAGTTGAGTGAGGTTTTATTTATCCTATAAAGGACATTTTTTCAGGTTCAAGCATTTCAAAAACCAATTTACTCAATACAGGATTGGCAATAGCCAAAATTTGGTGTTGAGTGGCTTTGCATAGCTTTAAATCTATTATATTTTCTGTACTTAGCCTCCCTATTGAAATAATAAGAATGGCTTCTAATCATGAACAGATATTAGCTTTTAATAGTGCAAATCACTTTCAGTTCCTTTACATATTGAAACTCATAACAAACTCATGAGATAGGTTGCTCTTTCATTTAAAACAGATAGAAACCAAGTCTTATAATGGTGACATAACTTAGTGATTCTTTTTCTTTTTTCCTTTAAGTTTCTCTGGAATTAGAAACCATGGTTCTGTCTTCGTTCCCAGATCTTGTACTTTAATCTACCATTCTTATAATTCCTGTGCTAATTTGGGGGCATGTTAGAGTGTCTGGCTCATACAAGAAGCAGACAAGAATTGGAAGTCCTGTACAGTTTCTCTCCCAAAGTGAAAACTCTTGGGCAGTGCCACAGAATGTGTGTATTTTCGCTCTTTCAAACTATGCCCAGCTTCATTTTTGTTGATCTTGCTGAAGAAGCCTGAACTCCTGCCTTCCGTCACTGTGTCAGGAGCAGGTGGAAGCAGGTTTATCAGCTGCCGTTACTCTTGGCTTACGCCTTACTACCTCTATGTGCAGGAAGTGAAGGGCTCTACTATTTCTGTGAAGTTACACAACTGTGCAGTGGATGAAGCAAAGGTATGTTGGCCGGGATGTTCTCTCAGGCCAGGGAGCATCTTGCTTTTTCATAAGCTTGTGTTAGATGGCAAGGGACACTCTGTTTTTCCGGCAAGATTGCTGTTTCCTGCCTAAGAACAGAAGCTGTGCTCCTCCCATGTTAACTTTACAGAACCATGGGAGACCAGAACTGGGAATCTCTGGACCCCATGGCTGTAGTCTTTGGTTGCCTTTATCCTAAACCCTCAATTTTTCAGTGCTCTGAGGAGCATGCCCTTTTGCCGCAAACATCAGTGTCTATGGAGAAGCATAACCTTAACTGCTTGTGTTCTTTGTGACTCCCGCCTTTGTGGTGAAGCAGTATGTGCAAAGACACCTTCTATTCTGTTCAGACCAGGAAGCCAGAGGGGCGAAAAGGCCACTTGTCTCTTGTGCGGAAGAAATGAGGAAGAGCTGCTTTCCAGCCCTTGCCTATTCAAGCTGTGTACCCAGGGTTCAAACTGCGTTTGGCTTCTTCCCACAGCCCCAGGGGAGAGACGATTCCATCTCACAAAAGAAGCAGCTTCTACACTGCCAGCCATTACTGATGGGTGTTTTTCCCAGTTTTCACCAAGACATCTTCCTATAGTTTTATTCTTGCCAACTGCTCTCTTGCACTATTCTCCCCAAACGTGCTCCTTGCCTCGTTTAGTAGTACAAATTCAGAGCAACAACCCTGCATTAGGGGTGATGCAGATTCCACAGTGCAAGTGTCCCCTACTGGTAGTGTCCTCCAATGACGTGATTGATGTTCCCGAGGCTTCCCATCCTTGACATCAGGGAGGTACCCTTCCTCTACCTGCACCTCTAATTGCTGTTCTGTGTGAGGGTGTGGGTTGTACCATTTTGCTGAACACTATTGTCTCCCTATAGTCTATTTCTCTCCTTTCCAGACCTCCTCTAAATCAGGCCACTGTGAGGTGGGGATGTGGAGCTTTTCAGTTGGCTTCCTGATGACTGTGATTGTCCTTGTCCCACCCCACTGGTGAACTGAGCTCAGGATGTAGGGTCCTTAGCTGTCTCTTTGTTCTTAGCTCAAGATTCAGTAGATGCCCAGAGAAAGGGGCCCCACACGGAGAACCACAGTGTCCCGGTGACAAATTCAGAAGGGCTTCTAAACAGAACCATTCTTGATCGCATGTGTGGCTGATTGTAATTGTTTGTAATTGTTAACTGCTCTTTTTTTTCTTCTCCATTTAGTACCTCTGGGGTTTGCCATATGGCAGTTTACCTAGGAAAACAGTTCCGAGAGCAGAAGAGGCATCTGCAGCCAACTTTGGTGTGTTGTACGACTTTAATGTAAGTGTCTCTACACAACTGCGAGGGTAGGAGAATGGATTCTTCCTTACATTACTTCACCCAGAGTTCCCTGAGTTTCTTTAAAATGATCTCCCTGCCTCTTGTTCAAAAAAGAAAATAATGTATATGTGTGTACTTGAGTAAGGGTTAGTAATATGATAATATGATTAAGTGGAATTGAGACTACTGAATGAAGGTGAGCTCAAAGTTCAAAGACTTGAAGAATATAATATTCTTACCTTTGGCTTGGGAAAAGAACAAAGGAAAAACTTGCAATTGTACTTTTTGGGAAATCTTTTTGGATTCTTAGGGAATTAGTTTTCCACTTCATATTAATTTTCCTACTTCAAAAACAAGCGTCCTACTTAGTGTTACTCAGAAATCAGCCCTAAATGAAGCTAAATGTTAAATGCTAAAAAATACCAAATTCTAACATTGAAATAATACTGACACTTACTTCATTGTAGCCGCCAAAGAAATCCTATGCCTCAATAGGGGTAAAATGAGCATTACTCATTTGCTATGCCAGAGGTTTAATCCTGCCCCTTGAGAAATCATTTCAGGCTATGGTTCAAGTTTGTGACAATAATACAATTCCATATGTTCTTCTTAAAATTGTGGCTAGATTGGAGAGATTTGGAAGCATATGAGTGGAAAGGTACAAGACAGAGACTGGGAATTGATAATTCAAGAAAATTTTGGAGGGTAGAAATGAGAACAGATTTTTATTCGGGCTACACAAAAAAGAAAGAGAAAAAAACAAGATGTTCTCTTCATGCTGTTAATGCATATATTTCACAGATGTTTTGATTTCTACCCGTAGCAGCCTAAATATTGTGAGCTTCCTAAAGGGGATTGTGGCAGCTACGTCTTCATTTCATCCCTTACTCCTGTCCTTACCCCACGGAGACTCACTGGATCTTGTTGACTGACAATCCACAGAAGTCATTCCCCACGATCAGGACCAGAAGAGGCAAATCTTGAGAAAGTTTCTCAGTCTCTGAGTGAAGTAAGCAAGCCATAGAATAAATGCAAGGCACAACAACAATTTTTGGCATCTGGCATCTTCAGTAATGCCTGCCCCACGAACTTTTCCTTTCAGCTCAGAATTTATTTACTGACTATTAGAATGCATTCATTTTAGAAAGTTGAGTGGTCTTGTTCTTGACCTCAAGATTCTCATGTGAATAGAACATACACAGGCAACTGCTATACAGTGTTTTATATTCTAAGTTAGCACCATAGAGAAAAGGAATTCAGGGGCCCTGAGCAGGTTGCTGTTAATGTTGCTTGAGCAGGCCTGGGTTTCATAGAAGGTTTGGTCTCTGAGTGAACCATTACTTCTTACTTTTTTATTAAAGAAAAAGTTTTAGTGGTTTTATTGCAGTGTACTCTACAGATGATAAAATTCATCTGATATGTGTATAGTTCAGTAATTTTTGATAAATGTGCATAATTTTGCAGCCATCATCACAATCATTTTTTTTTTTTTTTTTTTTTTTTGGTACTGGGAATCGAACTCCAGCCCTATGAGGTTGTACAGCAGGTGGCGAAACCACTGAGCCAAACCCCAGCCCTCAATAATTTTCGTTTTGTTGTTGATTGTCTTTTTGAGACAGTGTTTCACTATAATTGGGCTCCCTAATTGGCCTGGAATTTGGCATTCTCCTGCCTCAGCCTCTTGGGTGCTAGGATTATGGGCCTGTGGCACCACACCCTGCTACAATCCAATTTTAAATGACTGCCATCACCTCCCGAGAAGTTCCTTTGTACTTTTTGCAGTCAGTCTCTCCTCCCTCCCTCAGAGTCTGGTACCACTGATCCTGCTTTCTGTCTCTGTAGTTTTGCCTTTTCTAGATATTTAGAAAATAATTGGAATCACATGATATTTAGACTTTTGAATGTCTCTTACTTTGTGTAACCATTTGCTGGTTGATGGATATTTGCATCATTTCTAGTTTTTTTTTTTTTTTTACTTTTAAGGATACTGCTATTACTATTTGCACATGTGTCTTTATGTGAACAGATGCTTTCATTTCTGTTGAGGAGATAGGTAAGAAGGGAATTACTAGGTGAGCATATGTGTAACTTTTTAAGAAATTACTGGTGTTCCAGAGTGACTATACCATTTAATCTTTCCACAGCAGTAAAAGAGGGTTGCAGTTTGTCTAATTTTTTTTTTTTTTTTTTTGGTACCGGGGATTGAACTTGGGACCTTGCTTGGGAGGCAGGGGGTGGCACCACTGAGCTAAATCTCTGGCCCTGTTTGTCTAAATTTTTAACATCTGTTGGTGTTGAGTCTTTTAAATTATAAACCTATCCTGTTAGAGGTGTAATGGTATCTTTTTGTCCTTTTAATTTGTATTTTCTTTTTTATAAGATATTGACAAATTAGTTATGTGTATTATATATATGCATTTATGGGATACAAAATGATGTTATGATTTTCCATTACAATGTGGTGTGATTAAACCAAGTGAACTAACCTATCCATTACCTCAAATATTAGAAATTTTTGTGATGAGAACATCTCTCTGTCTCTGTCTCTTCTCTCTGGTTTGTTCTCCTGGGGGTTGAAGACAGAGTGCTCTACCACTGAGCTATTACCCTAGCCCATTTTTTTTTTTTTTTAATTTGAGACAGGATCTCCCTAAATTGACCAAGCTGGCCTCAGACTTGTGATCCTCCTGATTTTACCTTTGGAGTACCTGGGATTATAGGTCTGTGCCACCACACCCAGTGAGATCCATTCTTTTTTGTTTGTTTGTTTGTTTTTTGAGACAGGGTCTCACTATGTAGTTGAGACTGACCTGGCTGACCCAGGCTGGTCTCAAACTCACAGTGATCCTCCTGCCTCAGCCTCCCGAGTACTGGGATTACAGGAATGTGCCACCACGCCCGTCAAGATCCATTCTTTTAATGATACTGAAATGTGTAGCAGTCAGTAGTAGCTAGATTCACCACATCGCACAATAGCCTCAAATTTATTCCTCCTATCTGAGGCTTAGTAACTTTTGGTTATCATCTCTCTGTCTTCCTCACCACTCTAACCCCCACCCTCTTGTAACAATCATTTTGCTTACTGCTTCTATGAGTTCCGTTGATTAGATGCTACATGCAAGTGTGAGCAGGTGGTATTTGTCTTTCTGTTTGTATTACTTCACTTAGCAGTGAGCTGTAATTGGTAGATAAGGCCATTCACCTCATAATCCTTTTTATGGTGAGTGTTTTTATCTGAAAACCGAGTGTGCGAGTGTTCTCATATGTAAATGAAAAAAGAAAATAGTATCTATCCCAAGGAGTATTGAGTAAGGTAATACCTGAAAGAGCACACAGTGTCACACAGGGCGTATAACACACTGTAAATATTCTTTCATATATAAAGGATCCATAACTTGCCAAAAGGCAAACAGCTACCAGGAACAGAATTGGAATGTAGGGCTAAATATATCAGATGAGGCCAAATTCATGAAAGGCAGCATAACTTTAAATGAATGATAACATAACTTTGAATGATAAATAATGAAGAGTCATTGAAGGATTCAGAGAAAGGAAGATCATCAAATTATTCATTGAATCTGATTGTTCTCGTAGACATATTACTATTATTGTCTTAAGTTTTATGTGATGTATGTGTTTTATGAATTTGTGATATGAAGAGCTCTGTCACTCTTTTTGCCAAGATTTTATTGTAAATTTGGCAAGGAAAGATCTTGATCCATTATAGAAATGTTCTGTTTTTTTCCCATTTTTGTCAGCAAAGAATTTCAGTCCATCCTGGAAAAAAAAAAAAAAAAGTAGGATGGGGGCAGTACTTTCATCAGAACCAAGGGGTTGGTCTGAAGCTGGAGTAACTGGAACATTCTTCATTTATTTTGTAATTTAATCTTCATTCTAACCCAGTCAAGTCCTTTACTATCCCTAATTTATAAGTTGGGGGACTGAGGCTTGGTGGTTGGGCTTTGATATTTTCTCCCACATTCATAGGTGATAAACAATGGGGCTGAGACTCTTATCACTACATCCGACTCTTAACACCTACAACATGTGGCCTCACATGCTGTCAGTGGCTCCTGAGAGAGCTATAATTTTATGCTGGAAGTTCAGAAAGGGAGAGAATTTTAGAAGTGGAACTGCCTTTAAATATCTCCCATTCTATGTCCCACATTGTAAAGACAGGAAACTGATTCTTGGAAGGAAGTTCAGAGTCTTTTGGCTGAGCACTGCCTAATTTAGCATTTATTCCATTGTCTGTATTCCATCAAAAATTTTCCTGGTATAATTTTCAACAGCATTCTTACTGACTGCTCTGGAACGTTGACTGGTGGTTTAATGCTGTACCTATTTTAAAAGGGAAACAGTTGGAGCCCATTTTCACCTTTTACAGTAAAGTTGCCATTTAGAAATCAGCTTCTCAAATACTGTGACAGGTTCAGTATTTCTTCTTGCCTGGGTTTCTTACTTGATACTCTGAATAATGACCTCGTAGAGATGCCCACTCTGAATTACAAGATGAGCCTGGTTTCCATCCATCATTTCACCATGTAGGAAACCATTGACCAGACATCCAGAAGTTACATGAAAACTCATGATCACCATTATGATTTTCAAAGAGCCCACAGACACCAGGAAGAAAAGGCATGTTTTAGTTCTAGGGCAGAAATGGCTGTAGTCCTAAAACAGTCTAATTGGGCCTTGAATTAGTTTGCGTCTTCTAAGAAGGTTAATGTGTCAATAAGGCTATTCTATATGGGAGGTGAAGAAGAGAAAAAAATTAATCTTACTTATAGAACACTGTAAAAATAGATGCAAGCATGGCCTCTGGTGGCAGAGGGGCCTATTTAATGGAAAGGGTCAGAAAAACTGCTTTGGAGGTGGGAAGGTTGTGAGGAACTACTGTTCTGCTGAGCTCTATCTGGAAATCTTGGAGTCTCCACTCCAGCCTCATGGAAATTCAGCTTTCTGTCACTTAGAAGCACACCCCACACAACTCCAAATTC